AAAAACGACCCGACACCAACCAGAGGAACACGACGGAGCCAGCCCTCACACCAGTCCCTACCAATCTCAACTAACACCACTAGTAGAGTTCGAGAGGAACCGCTCCCCCACCGCCTAACACCACTAGCCGAACGGAGAAGAGAGAGGGTGGCCCGGCTCCTCAACACCGGCCTCCCCAACCATGATGAACCTCAGCACCTAGAGCAACGCTCCGCCCAGAGCAATACAACCTCGCCCATAACAACCACAACCCGCTGGCAACTAGAGTTCGAACCGACGGCAAGCCGAAGCCTACCAGAAAGAACCCCAACAACCTCAATCTACCACCAACACAGCCAATAGACGGAAAATACCTCAGAGGCGGCCCAAGAAGCTGAATTCGATCTCAGTGAAGGAGTCCGATGAGAAGATGCAGTTCCTCACACTGACCGCCGCTACGAGCTTCATCGCAGCTGCCGCCGCAACGAGCTTCATCGCCGCTGCCAGGGGCTCCGACCCATCCACAGACCCACTTCCCTTCCGATACACCCCCCAGACCTCAGATTCGGCGACCAATCCACAAATCACACCACAAGAGGCGGAGTTGGGAATAGGCGGTCGCGACAAATCTTCCGCCGTTGGAGGCGCCGGAGACGAGATGGCTTCTGGGATGGGCCGAGCAATTGGGGACGACCACCGGCCTGGTTCCGCCGCCGCTGAGGAAGGCCGAAAGGGGGAGAATTAGAGAGTCGCCGGAGGTAGGGTTTGGCCGATTTGGGGGTGTCGGGAGAGCTTTTTTTTTTCGTTCTTTTTTAATTATTATTTATATTATAAAAATATATTTAGTACTTTAATATTTTTATTTGATGTTTTTTATTATTTTTGGTTGAAAATACATAATATATATGTGTATAAAAGAATATATATCTATATATATAATAATATTTTTATAAATTACTGATTTGGCCCATGAACTAAATTGCCATTTAATCAAAATTCTTGAAATTTTAATCAGGTCCCTGAAAATTATCTAATTCTCAACAAAAAAAATTAAAAGGAAAAACAACTCCCCAAATTGAAAGCTCGTCGGCTCAGGTAGGCCCTTCTCATCGGCTACCGCCGACTGACCCCTCTCTAATCGTAATTGGATATAAGATTATGCAGCAATTGTCCGGTTCTGCGCCCTAATTTTCCTCGAAAATCGGCCCTGGCCATGGCCACCTATTGCGTACACCAAAGCTCTTCCTCACACAAATGCGCCCACCGACGAGCATGCTTTCGACGAAATCGTTCTCTTCTCCCACCTAAACTCGTCGGACTCCGTATCATGTGCCGCGACGGGGAAAATGTCAAACTGCAAATCCAATCTAATCGTGTAAGGGGTGGCGCCAATGTTGACGCGGATGAAGAAAGCCAACTTCGGCGTCGACCAGTGACCCATCCCCTCCGAACGGCGAAGGCGGTAGGCGACGATCGGTGGCAGCAGGACCACGTGTGAGTGGCTGTAGGGTGGAGTAGGTCCCACAGTTTGGGTGGGAAAAATTATCACGTTGTCCATTGTTAAAAAATTTGGTTTTTTTAACCATTGTATTATCCGATCTAATGGCTATAATGTATTCTTATTTTTTTTGTTGAGCACCATTCTCACTTGAGCGCGACCCTGTATATATGGGTGAATCAAATGAGGACACTCCTTAAAATGAGTACATGAGACTCAATCTTAGCCATTGATTTTGTGTAGATCAATGACTCATATTAATCAATTACAATATACATTAATTATACAATAAATAATAATAATAATAATTATATTTAAATCAATTATATAATAAATAAAATAATTAATTTGTGTTGACTGTCTTCAACTGGCTGGCCGCCGCCGTTGACCGTCATTGACTGGCCGGCCGCCGCCGTTGACCGTCGTCGTCGGCTGTTGATCGGTCAACAACTCCAACCTCTTCCTGAAGTCCACCACCCATCTTGGACCTCCAGCCGCCGGTCAGCCCGTTGCCGAGCCACCAGCCACTGCCGCCGTCGGCCTCCAGGCGTCCTCCAATTCATCCCGCCGAATATGCGCGCCGCCAGGGATGAGGTTGAGCAGGAGAAGTTTGTCGGCCACAAACATCTTGCTCGCGACCACCGGCATCAATTGCAACACCTTCATTCCTACCTCGTCAATCATTAATTGTTTGTTTAGGGTTGGGAGTTCGGTTGTTTGCTCTCGAACAAGGTTAGGAGTCGCCGTCTGAATCGGAGATCGTGGAGGGCGTTGCTGCTCACCCGCTCGTGCTGGTGATCCGGGGGTGGAGGAGGAGGCGACGATGAGGAGGGAAGTGAGCTGCTACTCCGGCTGCCGGAAGAAGGTCGATTGGCGTGCGACGTTCGAAGAAAATAATAAAATTTAGGCAGGGATAATTTTCAAAAATTAGGCAAATTAGAAAGGTTTTTAGTTGCAATTTCAGAAAATTATAAGTTATAGTAATTAGATCCCTGGATTCAATCTATAATTTATTTATAGTTTGCATAATTACAATACGGCCCATTCAATTTTTATATTATAAAACTAATGCATATTTAATTTATTTATTGTGCATATTTAGATAATACACAGTGCATATTTTAATGATAAAAAATACATACTTAATTGAGTGTAAAAATACATATTTAGTATATTTAAATTAATTATATACATAATGCATATTTAATTCATAGGGAATTCACATTTAGTTCATCCTTTTTGCATATTTGTTATACAAATTAAATATACACATAATGCATATTTAGTTCATATGAAATGTGAATTCTCTCGTTGAGAGTGGGCGATTATCTCTTTGAGATGGGGGGATTATCTCTTTGAGATCTTTATTTCCTTGGGTGAGGGCTAGATTCGAGTGGTGAGTGCGCGTTTCTGTGAGTTGTTCCTGGTCTTTCAGTTAGTGTTTGTAGGGTTTTTAGTGTCTGAGATTAATGGAAGCTGGTTCGGGGGCAGGTTTAGGAGAGGAGGTTTTGGCGAAGATGCACAAGTTCTCATTGTCGGATAAAGAAGCTGGCGACATTGAAATACGGGTTGATGATATCAAGTCAAGTGAAGAAGAGTGTAGCCGGAGTTTATTTGGGAAAGTGGTAGGGGACCGGCGAGCTGGCCTACTGGGAATTAAGCGAGCAATGGGTGCAATATGGCGAATCCAACAGACATTGGAAGTAAAGGAGCTCAGTGCCAATTTTTTCCAGTTTATATTTAGCTCGATAGAAGATAAGCGGAAGGTTGCAGCAGGTCATAACTGGTTATTTGAGAACCAGTATCTCATCCTTCAGGAGTGGATGCCAGGATTAACAAAAAACCATGTGTGTTTTGAAGAATTGAACATCTGGGTCCAGGTATATAATGTCCCTTTAAACTGGATGTGTACGAAGGTTGGAATGAAAATTGGTGGAGTTTTTAAGAGTGTTCGAAATGTGACTATATGCAAAGCGGGAGGGGACCTGGGAAGCTACCTCAAACTACTGGTAATCCTTGATCTGAAGGAGCCGGTACCTAGATGTACAAATGTGAAGTTGGGAGAACAAAGGGTGAGAGTGGTGTTCAAGTATGAAAAGCTGGTAAATTTGTGCTACTACTGCGGGAGGATAGGCCATTTGGATAGAACATGTCAAGGGAGGCTGCAAGATATAGAAAACAACAGCATCGCAGAAGGGCAATATGGGGAATGGATTAAAGCAAATGACTTTCCTGGTGGGGGGAGAAACAGTTTCTCTGGGAGCTCAGGGGCAAGAACTAGTGGCCCACAGCAGAACTCAAAATTTGGGTCGAATGTGGAGGCTAGCAACCAACCAAATCTACAGAGGCCACCAATGGAGACCCAGGAAGAGAGAGGAAGGGAGATACAGGAGATGGTGGAGGAGGGGAAGGAGATAGATCAAGATAAGGGTGGTGTAGAGATGCAGTTGTGTCTGGCTGTCATTGAAGAAGAGTCACAACAGGAGGACCAAACAAGTGTGGTCAGGGTGAGTTCTCCAAGAAATGTTATGGCTATGAGGGAAGCAGTTTCTATTCAAATAGAGGAACCAAGTCAGACCCACAGTGTTCAGAGGGAAGGCAGGAATACTAAGGGAACCACTTGGAGGAGAAAGATTGCTACCTCAGGGAGGCTGCAGAGGAACTGTGTGGAAGGGCAAGGCAAAGATGATTCCCAACCACAGAAGAGAAGTAGAGAGCTCAGTGAGAAAGGGAAGGAGGTCATGGAAGATGCTGATGTTTTGTCTAGCTACAAAAAACAAAAAATGGACAAATGCCAGGATAAGAAAGAGGTGGAGAAGGCCAGCCTGGAGTGGCCCCAATGTGATCAATGAGGGCTATGGTGTGGAACTGTAGAGGGTTGGGTGGGCCCTGTACAGTTTCCCAGATCAAGGATTCAAGAAGAATCCACCACCCTAATATTATATTCCTATCTGAAACTAAGAAATCTGCTAAGTTTACAAGAACAGTTTGTAGGAAGTTGGGGTTTGAGAATAGATGGCAGCTAGTGGAGCCTGTAGGGACTAGAGGTGGGCTAGTAGTAATGTGGGATGTGAATACTGAGGTGAGGACTGTGATAGGAAATGAGTTCTGCTATCAAGTAGAGCTGAAGGGACCGGGTATAACTGATTGGATTTGGCTGATTTTTGTATATCTGAGTACTGATAGAGGCAGTAGAATGAATCAGTGGGAGTTCTTAGAGGAGAGACAGCCTTCATGGGGAAATGTATGGGCTATGGCAGGGGACTGGAATGACCTAATTAGCAATGAGGAGAAGAGAGGGGGCAGAAGAAGGCCAGAGACTAGCTTTATGGGATTCAGGAGTTTCATTATGAGAATGGGGATGCAAGAGGCTGAGCAGAGAGGGGCCTTCTTCACATGGGGAAACAATAGAGTTGCTGAGGGCTATGTGGAGGAAAGGTTGGACAAAGTTTTTACATCATTGGAATGGTCTAGTCGGTTTCCTCAGATGGAAGTATCAAATTTCTTCAGATGTGCCTCAGATCATAATGTTTTGCTTTTGAATACTGATAAGGCAGTGGTTTATAATAAAAAAAGGTTCTTATTTGACAGTAGCTGGGCTAAGATGGAAGGAGTCACTCAAGCGGTTGAGAGAGGGTGGAATATTCAGATGGATGGCACACCTATGTACCAGGTACATCAGAAGGTGAAGACAACAAGAATGGCTCTGCTGGAGTGGAGGAAACCGATGAAAAGGAACTCTGAGGAAGTCATTAGAAGACTGACTGTGCAGTTGGAAGGGATGAGAGGTGAAGGAGGCAATCGAAATTGGGAGGAATGGGATATTACAAAAGCGGAATTAGACAAAGCTTTTAAAGAAGAGGAGAGTTTTTGGAGGCTGAAATCTAGAGCAATGTGGATGAAAGCTGGAGAGTGCAATTCAAAGTTTTTCCATGCTACTGTGGCCCAAAGGAGAAGAAGAAATACTATAAATTGCCTTATTACTCAGACTGGGGAAAAGTGTGAGGGTGAAGAGGCTCTGGTCAACCATATCACAGATTTCTATGCTGATCTGTTTCACTCTGAGGGTTCTCAAGAGGGGCATTACTGTCTGCAACATATTACTCACTCCATCTCGGATGATATGAATTCTTTGCTCATCAGGCCCATTGAAGATGAAGAGATTAAAGGAGTGGTTTTCAGCTTACCCCCTGACAAAGCACCGGGTGAAGATGGTATGAATGCCTCCTTTTTTCAGCATTTTTGGCACTTGATTTCTAAAGATGTGTGTAATGCCATTAAGTCATTTTTTTCCTCTGGAGTGTTACTGAAAAACTGGAATCATACAATTGTTACATTGATACCTAAATGTCTGTACCCAGAGAGATTATCAAATTATAGACCTATTAGTTTGTGTGGAACTCTGTACAAAATCATTGCTAAGCTGTTGGCTAACAGATTAAAGGCTTGTCTGAATGAGTGTATTAGCCCTGAGCAAAATGCTTTTATTCCTGGGAGACTTCTGCTGGATAATGTGATAATAGCACATGAAGTTTTTCATTTCCTTAACCGGCATAGATCAGGTCCTAATATGTTTCTAGCTCTGAAATTGGATATGGAGAAAGCATATGATAGAGTGGAATGGGATAGCATCAGAAGAATTATGTTTAAAATGGGTTTCAATGCTTTGTTTATCAAGTGGATTTTTGCTTGCTTGTCTTCATCCTCCTTTTCTTTTAATGTGAATGGGAATATCTGTGGGTTTGTAACACCAACCAGAGGGATTAGACAAGGGGACCCTCTCTCCCCCTATCTATTCCTGTTGGTTTCTGAGGCTTTTTCTGCTCTTATTAATCAGAAAGTTAGAGATGGGGTGTTCAGAGGGGTTAAAGTGTCTAAGCATGGGCCTATGATTACACACCTTTTATTTGCTGATGATGCTTTGGTGTTTTGTAAAGCTGATGTGTGGCATGTGCAATCTATCATGGAGATCTTGCAGAAATATAAGAGTTTTACTGGGCAAAAAGTAAATCTGCAAAAATCTTCTTTATTTTTAAGTAAAAACTGCACTGAGTCTGTGAGAACAAGCTTGTGTTCTATTCTCAGAGGTGTTGTGGTTAAGAGATCATCTAAGTACCTGGGCTTACCTTTGGGGATAGCTGCTTCTAAGAGGGATACATTTCAATTTGTGATTGATGCTGTGAGTAACAGAATTGGGAGTTGGACTAATAAATTCTTATCTGTGGCTGGCAGGCAAGTCTTGATCAAGGCTGTATTAAATGCCCTCCCAATTTTTGTTATGTCTTGTTTTATGCTACCAGGTGGGGTGTGCAAAGAGATTAGCAAGTTGATTGCTAAATTCTGGTGGAGCAAAGGGGATGTACAAAATCCAGGCATGCACTGGAAAGCTTGGGACAAATTGACTTTACCAAAAGAGGCTGGAGGGCTTGGTTTTCAAGACATATCCATTATGAACAAGGCTCTTATTCTGAAGCAGTTATGGAGGATCTATTCCCAAAAGAAGCTGCTGGTGAGTCAAGTCCTTAAACATAAATATTTTCACTCATCTTCCTTTTTTGAGGCTAAAAAAGTACAAGGTGCATCTTGGTTATGGAACACTTGGGCTAGACTTATACCTTTGTTGCAGAAGAATGTGAAGGTCATTATCAGAAATGGAGTTCAGACTGGTATTGATGAGTATAATTGGGTTCCTGGCCTAAATGGAGGTAAGCCTGCTCTAAAGGTCAATATTGATCCTTCTCTGTTTACTGTGAATCATCTTCTATGCAATAGTGGTTTAAGCTGGGATGAGAATCTAGTCAGAATTCTGTTCCATGATAGAGATGCTACTGAAATTTTGAATATTCGAGGTCTGGATCCTAGGGGTGAAGATTTATGTTTATGCAACTTCGCTGTGAAGGGGAATTTTTCAGTGCATGCTGCTTATGTTTCTATGCTTAATGAGAAGATTTGTCTGTTCTCTGATCCAGAAAGTAGTGAGATGGCTGTGGGAAATAGGAGGGCTAGAAATCGATGTTGGAAATTGAAAATTCTGCCTAAGGTCAAACACTTTATATGGAGATGTTTTAATAATATTCTTCCTGTTAGAGTTAACTTGCAGAGGAGGGGCTTGGATATCACCTCAGTTTGCACTTTGTGTGGTGAAGGAGCTGAATCTCAGGAGCATATGCTATTCCATTGTACGAGAGCTAAGCAGGTTTGGAGGTTAGCACCTGTGAAGTGGAATAGAATGCCTTCTGAACAGAATTTCTCTTTCAAAGATTGGTGGTGGTGGCTTAGCTCTATAAGGATGGATGATGTGGCTGAAGATCGTATACAATTGACAACATACATATTATGGTGGTTATGGCGGGCACGTAATCTCTGGATTTTTGAACAGATTTGGCAACCAGAGAGGGAGATACTCACAGCAGCAACTCGAGATTGGCTGGACTTAAATGGAGAAGCAATGGAAAACTGAGTAGCAGGTGAAGAGATTGGCCTAGGTTTAGTGTCAGTGGGTTTGTCTCTTTAGCAGCTGTCTGTTTTTCTTATTGTTTTTTACCTGTTTCTTTGAGTTTCTGTTAGAGGAGTTTTCCCTGTCTGTAGATTTGTGTTTATGGGGCTGTATGTCATATTGGTGTTTATGATTTGGCAGTAGGACATATTATGGCTGCAGGTAGTTTATGTTGTGCTATTTTGTTTTGAGACATGTGGTTGGTTTAGGCATCACTGTGTAGTGCATGGCCTCTCAGTTGTAAAACTCGGTCTTTGGCCGCTTGTACTTGTATTCTGTTGGAATGAGATATAGTTTCTGTCGTTTGAAAAAAAAAAAAAAGTTCATATGAAATGTATATTTAGTTCATCCATAATGCATATTTGTACTATTTCAATTAAATATATAATGATGCATATTTAGTTAATTCATGATGCATATTTAGTTAATATGAAAAGCATATTTAGTTAATCCATAGTTCATATTTTTTATATTTAAATTAGATATATAATGATGCATATTTAGTTCATTCGTGATGTATATTCAGTCATTGATAATGCATATTTAGTTAATATGAAATGCATCTTTGTTGTTTTTAAATTAAATATATAATAATACATGTTTAGTTAATTCATTATGCATATTTAATTAATACGAAATACATATTTATTACATCCATAGTGCGTATTTGTTATAATTAAATTAAATATATAATGATGCATATTTAGTTCATTTATGATGCATATTTAGTTAACACGAAATGCATATTTAGTTAACACGAAATGCATATTTAGTTCATCCATAGTGAATATTTGTTATATTTAAATTAAATATATAATGATGCATATTTAGTTCGTTTTTTGGCCGAAACGATAGATAATTTTATAAATCAAAATGCACAAATGTGCTAAAACACAGCAGCCAACGGCTGAATACACAGCAGCCAACAGCTGAAAAAGTGGGAGGACAGGTCAGAAGCCTGCCTAGAATCCCGACTAGCAACGCTAGAATAAAAAACACACTCACAACTAAACTAACCAACAACACAAACAACTAGAACAACTACAAGGACCCCAACAGGGTAATACCTGAGTGTCGGACCCCAAAGGAGTAATCAATTTGACACTCGGGCTCACAGGGGCCAACGGCCCAAACCAAAAACACAAAACACAAACAACACAAGACAAGCACAACCACAGATACTACAAACAATAGACAAGAACACAAATGACTAATAACCAAAACTAAAAGCCCTTCCTCGACAAACGAACTAGCCCAAACCAACAGTGTCCGATCGACAGAAGACAAATCCAGGCCAAGCCACTGCTACCGAAACTGCAATCAAGCCTATACAGTAGCGGAAACCAAGGCCCGAACCAATCTCCGAATCGACCCGTCTACAACCGAGCGAACAAACACCAGCCCCCACCCCAGCCCCACCCGAACCCGTCTAACACCACTAGCCGAGCTCGGGAGAGCCAGGACCCCTGCCGCCTAACACCACTAGCCGACCGGGAAGGGAAGAAGAGGTCCATTTCGCTACTCCGGCAACCACGGCGAAGGACTCGCTCCACCAAGACGCTGCCAAAGCCCCACCTCGCAACAAGCCCACACACCTCGCCACCGCCAACAGCCGCCGGCGACTTGAGGCCGAAATCCACCCGCAGCTCCACCGGAACAGGCGAAGCCAATCGGGAAGGACCCGTAGATCTCAGACAAGATACAGGTAGCCAGGGACCTGCCGGCGACGACGACCACCTGCCGGCGACCGAAACGCTGACCATCCTCCGCCTAGGATCGAGCATCCGTCTGGAGCCACTGGTCGACCTGCCATCTCCGAGCACCCGCAGCAGAAATCGAGGAGTGCCGGTCAGAAGCGGTGCGGGCCGTTGAAGACGACCATCGGCCGGAGCAGAGCAGTCGCCGGGGAAGGCCGACTGTCACGATTCTTGAAGTTGCGGCGGATAGATTTTGGGGGTTAGGGTTGCGGCGGATAGTGTTATAGTGTATGTACTTACTATGATGTTTTGCATATTTAGTTCGTTGATGATGCATATTTTGTTAATACGAAATACATATTTGTTATAGTTAAATTAAATATATAATGATGCAATTTAGTTAATACATGATCCATGTTTAGTTCATTCATAGTGCATTCATGATGCATGTTTAATTCATTGATGATGCATATTTAATTAATACGAAATGCATAATTGTTATATTTACATTAAATATGCAATGATGCATATTTAGTTACTTCATGATTAATATTTAGTACTTAGGACATACACGAACACATACTTCACAAGTAATGCATTTATCAAACGAAAAGTGGATTCAAACATATACTTCACAAGTAATGCATTTATCAAACGAAAAGTGGATTCGACCTTGGAAACGTTCCGGCGACATCCGCTTTTCTTTTGATTAATGCATATTTAGTTCATCCATAGTGCATATTTGTTATATTTAAATTAATTGTATAATGATGCATATTTAGTTCATTCATTATGCATATTTAGTTCATCCATAGTGCATATTTATTATAGTTAAATTAAATATATACATGTGCATATTTAGTTCATAAGAAATGCGTTCGTCCATAATGCATATTTGTTATATCTAAATTAAATATATATGTTGATGTCTAAAAATGACCAACAATGTGTTCGAACTGTATACTAGAATGTATACTCTATTCGGTCTGCACGAATAGGAATTTATATGGTATTCGGTATGAAAGATAGTATGAATGTAAGCTCTAACCGTGACTTATATGGTATTAATGAGAGCATTTACTCATTGTATTTAATGTTGTCTCTTGCTCCTTATATAGGAAGTGTGAGGACTTATTACATCTCCATTTCAGGTTTTCTTTTCCCTTTTCACTTTACAAGATATTAATTTGATATTTAGTCACACCACATTTAATGCTAATGTACTACAAAACACCATCTCAATAAAATAGACGAGCCCGGGTAGTGACGCGTGTCCCCGACTGTTAAGCGCCATTAGATGGGCGATTACCAAATCCAGCTGCATTAAATGCGTATCGTACGGATAATATCCGGGTAATGATTGGCGTTGATCGAACACGCTAACTGCATCTCGCTCGGTCTCCTTTTCTGTTCGGCCTGTTTGCTTGTTCCATGCTTTACGAACCCGAATAGAATTTATTTGATTTAATTTTCATATCCGTTCGGTCTCTACCCCGCACAATGGCCCCCAGGTTCGGTTGATATGGACAAACTTGTATTGAACGTATTTATCGAAGCTGCTTTACGTGATTTAACTAGACTGAGCGGGGAGATGATGATAAATTAAATATCGCTTCCTCAAAAGTCGTGTCTTTTCGGATATCTCGGCTGATAGTAACTGCGCCTTGCTGCGTGTCACAACCGTATTGGTTCAGCGATATTGGGGGAGCAATTTCAGTCAAGTTTCCCCAATCGCGTGGCTAAGAATAATCAGCCTGCTCGTCCTTTTTCACGAAAACGGCTGGGAAGCCCCGAATTGCGAGGACATTCGGGCATTGTTCCTCTTTAAAGAGACTCGAAAAAGGTCCAGACAATTTTCAATTTTGGTTCGGGACTCGACGTTTAGCAATTTGATCACCAAGGTGCTGGAGACGATTAGTAAATATAAGAAATCTTGGTTCTGGGTCGGTCGCCAATGGCAAACCATTCAGTCAGAGGGTGACCCTGGGACGTCTGAATTTTTTACCGTCCCCACTAGATTTGTATCCAAAATGGGTCAGTTTAATTTCTTTTGTTTCACTTTGTCACTTGTTCTGATTTCTGTCATTTTTTGTCCGTCACTAACAGGTGCGACTCGTTATTTCAACAAACAACAAGCACGTGCGGAGTTGAGGAAGTTGTTCGTTCAACAGTTGAACAAACTGCTCGAACTAGACAAATCTCTGAGAGAGGGGCCCCGGTTAGTTGAAGACGTACATTTGGCTGCTGCGGGACTGTGTTCGGGTCACGTCGAGCCGGCTTGCGAACCGAGTAAGTGTGTTCCATTCTCCTTTATTCGGTTTCGGCCTTTTGCAGTTCTTTTCCTTCCTTTCCTCCTTTTGTGTCGGGCCGCTGACTATCATCCGTTCGGTGACTTTCAGCTTACTATCTGTTAGACGACTTTAAGGGGGCGGCAACGGACGTAGCGGCCAAGAGAATAACTAAGGGCAAGGAGAAGAAAGTTGCCTCTAATTCAAAGAAAAAACAAAAGAAACCAGAATCGACTGAGGAGATGGACCGTTTGGCGACGTTGGAGAAGATGCAAGCGGCCGCGAAGCAAGTCACTGTCAAGCCGGCGGCCGAACAGAGTGTGGAAGTCATTGCCTTGTCAGACGAAGAGGGTGAAACCTAGCTGCGAGATACTCGCCAGAAGGGCGCAAACGAGCAAGAGAGGACAGTAGTGGACCGGTTGAGAAGAAACTGGGCTCGTCAGCGCCTGTCGAGCAGGGGTCCATGGTC